CCCCCGTGTCCAGGAGCACTGTGCAAATCCTTCTCCCAGCTCGGCAGCACAGCGGGGTGAGGAGAAGCCAGCACAGAGTTCCCTGTCCAGGTGCTGTGTCCCCAGGGAGCCGGTGCCTGCCGTGCCCAGCTCTAGGGCTGGGGATGCTCCTGGGAGAGCACCTGATCCGGGAGAAAAGCTTTGAACTCGGGCCCCTGGGAGGTTCAGGAGATGTTGGAGAGGGGCTTTGGACAAGGGCCTGGAGGGGCAGGACACAGGGAATGGCTTCCCACTGCCAGAGGGCAGGGTTAGATGGGATATTGGGAAGGAATTCCTGGCTGGGAGGGTGGGCAGGCCTTGGCCCAGGTTGCCCAGAGAAGCTGTGGCTGCCCCTGGATCCCTGGAAGTGTCCAAGGCCAGGTTGGACAGGGCCTGGAGCAACCTGGGCTGGTGGAAGGTGTCCCTGCCCGTGGCAGGGGTGGCACTGGATGAGTTGAAGGTTCCATCCCACCCAAACCATTCTGTGATCTCATGATTTCCATGGTGAGCTCCAGGAGGAGAGGTGGCATCTCCCCATGGATGAGGAACCACAACCACAGAGCACAACCATTCTCTGATTTCTATAATTTAACATTATTTCCCAATGCCTTTTCCTACCCATTTCCCCAGGAAGGAATCCCTGAAACCTGTTCATTATTGCTCTGTGCTGTTGTGGACATTCCCTTCCTTTCCCAAGCAGCACTGTGTGCAGCTCATTCATCAAAGCTTTGTGATGGTGTCCCAGGTTTGAGAGAAGCTGCAGTGGGAGAGAACAATCCATCATCTTGCTGGAGGGAACTTCCCTCCATTCCAGGGCTGCCTGACACAATTCAAAGGGATTCAGGAGTTTTGTCAGTTCTAAACAAGACCTGAACCAAATCTGTGCTGATTGCAATTCCTTTCAAAGAATTCTTATTCAAATGTCAGTCAGGAGCAGGGGAACCAGGGGACTATCAGGTGTAGTTATTTTTATCTGGCCTTATCCCCACACTTATCAAAATTACAGGAGCAGAAAAAATCCTGAGTTCACTTCTTAGCATAAGCCAAAAATACTGTTTAAGCAGCTCTGTGCTGCCCCTTCTGGGGTTGTTTACCAAGTATTTATAGGCACGACTTTACACCTCTCCAGGGAATTCTGTCAGGAGTGGCAGTTCCAGGAGCCAGAGCCAGCAGGGCTGGAATTCAATCACAACAAAATCAGCCACCCCTGGGGTGTCTGCCGTGTGTGACACCCTGCTGGAGCCAGGGTGACTGATGAGGTCCTTGCTCTGATCTTGTAGATGCATCACTGCTTTTGAGAAGTAAATGAAGATGTTTTTGCTCCAAGAACCAGTGTGGAAATTCCCAAGTTGCCAAATGAATCCCTGCTCCTGCAGTGACCTTTCTGGCGGGTTTTGATGCCGTGTGTTACCTCACAGAGATATTTGGACAGAGAGTCTCTCTGCCTGTGGAACAAAGGGGATCCTTTCAGCTTTCCTAGCCCTTAGGATGGGCTTAATCCATTGGGCCAAAGCAACCCCACAGGTGAGACTGGAGGGACAGGACCAGCTCTCCTGGCTCTCTTCCACGAGCCCCTTGTGCCAGGGCTGGCTGGGAACAGGACCACGACCTTGTCCCGTGTCACTGGCACAATCTGATGCCATGGCAACTGCAGCACTGCTGCAAATCCCCTCAGAATATGTGGATATTAAGAGATGTTTGATTCACCTGCCTTGGTGATTTTGGAGAAAGGAAGGTTGGAAACCCCAGAGCGACTTGTCAGAGCGGATCTGCCTCATCTTTCCCTTGTTCCCCCCCTTCCCTCCTCCCTGTTCTGTCAGTGCCCTTCCAGCCCAAATCCTCTGCAGTAGAGACCAGGCCCGTGCAGGGATCACACTTCTCAGCTGATGAGGACCTGTCCTTCCCTATCCTGAGGTCTCACCTGGCTGGAAGGGTGGGAGTTCTCACTGCCTGGCCCAGAGTGACCTCAGAGACCAAACCATCCCGTTTGATGTTGTTGGCAGTGTTTTGCTGCTTCTCCCTCAATCTTTCTCTGCCCAGGTCAGGCCCCTGTGGCTGTGCAGACAGGGCACCGTGCACCTCCTTGTCCCCAGCCCTTTCCCAGCCCTCTCTCCACAAAGTTTTGCTGTGGGAGGACTTGAATCTTCCCAAGCACACAGAGGAGGGACAGTGAGGCTTGTCAGAACCCCAGAATCACTGAGGTTGGAAAAGACCTCCAAGATCATGGAGTCCAACCTGTGACTGATCCCCACCTTGCTGAGCACTCCCGAAGGTGCTGATCCAGGTCCTCTGGTGACTCCCTGGAGCTGGAGATGGGGCTGTGCTGCCCAACCCAGCCAGGACTGAGCTGTCACAGGTTCATCCATTGGCACAGGAGCTGAGCACCCTCTGGAGCTGAGTCCCACTCCTCCCCCAGGGCACAGCACCCACTGGGCCGTGGGGATTCCTCCTGTCCCCGTGTGCCTTCATCTTTGTGTCTGACAGGGACAAAGAGAAAAGCAGGATGGGAAAAGCAGGCAAAGAGTGTTCCTGCCTCAGCCTCACTGTGCAGCAGTCCAGGTGAACAGCTCTGTGGAGGGGAGGGAGGATGCCCACTCTCTGGGCAGCCCCATGGGTGCAGGTTGGGCCTTTTCCCAATTTTTACCCATATTTACCAGGCCAGAACAGCAGGTGATGTATGGAGCGGATAAATCAATATTTCAACTTCTGTGGGCCACCAAAGCACATTTATGGTGATGAGGAGGCATCACCCAGGGTTGCACACCCAGACTCAAATACCTCAGTCTGCATTTTCCTGCTGAAGACAATCCCAGCAGGCTGGAAAGCTGTCTGCTAATTTAACTTATCAAGCTAATTACTGGGCTGCTGCAGTGCCAAGCGGAGGCGCAGATGTCTGAGCTTTGTCTGAGAAGTGGGGCAGCAGAAAATGGACCAATTCCATTTCCCAGGGCACACACGGGAGTTCAGCTCAGCCCCCAATTAAACAATGCCAAGTTCCCTGTTTACACAGGCAGATGGAGCGTGAATTTCTTGAGTGCTAAGGGCTGGAAAAGTTTAACTTCTTCCACATCAGCCCCTGAAAAGAGCAGAGGCCAAGCCAAGAAGATCATTAGCATTGGCTCCAGGGGCATTTTATAACTCACTTTTAATTTTTTCCTCATAACCCCACAGGTACGGCTCTGGGTTCAAAGCTTGAGCCCTTTAAGCATTGATTTTCTGTTTTAATTTGTATTCCAGAGAGCACAGCATTCCCCTGGGGAGCCCATGGGCTGGGGACTGGGAGCCCCGGGCTGACAGTTCTGTGGGAGAAAGGTGTCTTTGTGCACACCTTGCCTAATTCTACCCACAGCTGTAGCTGCAATAACAACATTCCTGCTAAGAATTATAGTTGTTCTGTATTCTCCTAATAAATATCAACTGAAATACCCGGCACTGGGAGCAGCCTGGGCTGTGGCACTGGTGACAGCAACTGGAATGGTTCCAAACAAACTCGGGAGTGAAGGGGAACGGGAAGGTTCCAGATTTGCCAACAGACCTGCAGGAGGGCCCCTGACCCCTCCCCACACTGCCATGGCTCCCACCCTGGGGCTGGCCAGGAGGGTGTGCAGGGGCTGTGGTACCATGAGGGGATGGATGGCCAGGAGGGGTGTGCAGGGGCTGTGGGTGCCATGAGGGGATGGCCAGGAGGGATGTGCAGGGGCTGTGGTACCATGAGGGGATGGCCAGGAGGGATGTGCAGGGGCTGTGGTACCATGAGGGGATGGTCAGGAGGGTGTGCAGGGGGCTGTGGTACCATGAGGGGATGGCCAGGAGGGTGTGCAGGGGGCTGTGGTACCATGAGGGGATGGATGGTCAGGAGGGGTGTGCAGAGCAGGGGCTGTGGTACCATGAGGGGATGGGCAGGAGGGGTGTGCAGAGCAGGGGCTGTGGATGCCATGAGGGGATGGGCAGGAGGGGTGTGCAGGGGGCTGTGGGTGCCATGAGGGGATGGATGGCCAGGAGGGGTGTGCAGGGGCTGTGGGTGCCATGAGGGGATGGTCAGGAGGGGTGTGCAG